AGTCCTTCTATGGGAAGAGGAGGCCTGCTGTGCCACAGACTGTTGTTGTGCCACCCACCTAGACATCACTGACTTTGATTTTCAGCCTAAAACTGAAACTGTCTTCTAATATCCACCAATAACACTCCAGGGTTGAAATGTCCAAGTATTTCAATGAGTGCCCTATAAAGAGTTAAGGTCTAGGTGATGCCATCAAATATCATGTTTTGCCTGACCAACAACTGTCCAACACAAGACGCATTTTCTTTACTCTCATAGGAGACGAGCTACAAATCTTCACAATTGAGAAGCTAGAATTAGGAAATGCTGTTGCTTGAAAATGACTTTTAATATATCATCATAATAGTTTCTGATAATTATTGTTGAACCAACCATGTTGGCACGTGCCTTTTCATCTGTTGATTCTTGCGAATCTGGATCATATTCAGAATTGTTTCTTCAGGTTCGATATTTTCATCCTCACCAGGGCCACAATCCAAAATTAGATCAAGTGCTTCATTCACAGTTAGTCACTTGCACATTGCGGTGCCACCACAGAATGGCATGTGCAGACAGAGAAGTCTTATTTATAGACCAAAGAACAAGAACTGATCAGTGTAGTTGTGTTGTGTTGGATACAATATTGCAAGAGAGAGTGTGAATGTGGGACTGTAGCGGGATGCAAGAACTGTGTTTTATACATGAATGAACACCAGTCTGTGCAGCCGACACTTAGCATGTGAACCATTTTCACTTTTTAGAGAAAAAATACCTTCACAGTTAATTGTTCCTTCTGATAAATAACCTCCCTGTGGCATAACACATCGATCATGGCATCTCTGACACAATGGCTGTTATTGATGGATTTTGTTTGGCTGTGCCAAGAGTATCTCACATCCATTTACCTCCTCTGTAGCCCAGAGATGCACCATAACTGGGCTAATGTAAAAAATAACATTTTATGCCTTTAGTGTCTAAACCTGTAGGTTCAAATATGTTTTACACCAAAAATGAAAAAAGGAACACAAGGTATTGGTCCCATTGATACTCACGCTCAGAATATGGATTTAGTGTAGCTCATCAGCTTGTCCCAATACTTCTATTTCTATTTTTAATGCCTGTCTTTGATTCAAAATGTTTGATATGTAAAATGTAGCTGCAAAATAAATACTGTGCAAAAGCACTGTGCACGAACCATATCACATGTCAGACGCTCCACCCACACCTTTCTGACATTAAAATATAATTTTCCAAAAGTGACATTCATACTCAATTCATGCAGTGATTGTCCAGGCGTGTGGGGGTGAGAAACTACAGGGTTTGAACTTTTCTTTCTAGCTTTCTTTTGTCCATAGCTTTTTGTGTGTACAATTGAGTTATACAGAATTTGCCTGAAATTGTATGCCTTTATCATCATGTTTAAATGATTATCGGTCTCTCCTCTTCCCTCTGATGGCACACTTGTCATCCTGTCTTCGAGGGGGCCGTTTGGAACAGTTATTAACATTTTTGCTCTCTCAAGTGGTCAGACAACACGTTGTACGAACTAATTCTTTTCAAGTATACCCCGTCCTTTAGTCTCTCAGTCTGTGTTTGAGACATTTCACTGCCTCTTGTACTGCATGTGGTGATTGAATGTCTGATTTTGAGGAGGCTCTGAAGAGCAGCTTCCTGCTCTGATTTAGCAGCAAAACATAAGAACTTGTGGATAATTGCATCTACAGCTACTGGTGCCGGTTGATGCACTCATCCCTTTCAGCCTTTCTGAGGCACAGCACAGTGTTTCTGTCGATCCAGCCAGCAAACTCTCTCAGGGAGGTAAAGCGGGCTGTAGCTGGAGGTGACTGACGAAAACAAAGACAATGTATCATTTGGTTACATTAGCTGCTGACTTATTTGTTTATTTTCGTGAAATTATTTTTGTTACAGTTGCATTATGTGGACCCCTACTGAACTAAACCAAATATCAACAATGAATGCATTTTAAGGGGCTGCCATCAAATGGCCTCAAAGAGGGAGGCAGAAAAATCAGTAGGAAGCAAAATGTTACTGATGTATTCTCACAGCAGTATATTTTATCAAGAGTAAATTAAATTGCAAAAGGGCATTTTTTCTTAAAAATGCTTCTCACTGCTACTGCGACTACACACACTCGTCATTAGTTTGGTATATTATATTGATACTGCATGTTCCCTCCAATGCTGCAAAGCCGTTTGCACTTGATAACTTGTCATTCAGAGCTCACTCGCTAACACCAAGTCAAGTTAATTCACTATAAAACATGTTTTATAGATAATATAATAAAACTTATTTGCTACATTATGAGACCAGACCTTTGTGTGTCTCTGTTGATGTACTGTCTGATCTTGCCCTAAAAACGTTACATTGAATTCAACAAATAACACCACTATATGTCTCAACCCTCAAACGAGCTTCGTTCAAATGTGATCAGTACTCTCTTTAGAGTAGAACCTTGTAGCCTTTAAGTAGATACCCCAGCAGTGACATGTTTGATAATTCAAATACACTGAAACATAAGGCAAGGCTGTTTTTATGATTAAAATGGATTCATACATATATCAAGAAGAGCTTTTAACTGTCGCCTATATGGTGCAATATAAGTGCCAAGAGGTTGACATTCTGTGAGTCTTAACTTGTTTTTCATCATGTCCCTCTTCGGGGCCACCATGTTTCTCTCCAGGTGCTCCCCGTGGCAGGAAAACTCCATCTGTGTTTATTATACTTCTACCTGGGAGAAAAGGGGAGTGTTCTTGTGAACAGATGTACTGCAATCTGTTAATAGTGGTGACACCGCTGTAAGAAAAAAACATCTTATTCTGCAGAAATGTATAATGCAGTTGTAGATGGTAATATTGAACTTTAGGACAGTTGAAGGAATGTCCTGCGCTGGATGGTAATTTGTTTGATCTTAAGTGTGTTCATGTGATAAGATGAGAGAGGGGTGGAGAGGAGAGGAGAGGAGA